TATTAGCAGCCCTAATATACTCATAAACCTTGTAGGTTGAGTCCTAAGAGCACCCATGAGTTGTATGTGAAAACCAGGATTATATTCGCCTTATTCGGAGCCTTGTCGGGTCCCAAAAATATGAGTTGAGTTGATGTTTTATATGCAGCGATTTCTGAGTTTTAGACCCTTAAAATGAAGTTTAAAACCTGGTACATTGGTGTCTTAAAAGGCCTCGAGTCGTGTTTCAAAAATCGGGTTAATCGATTTAAAGTAGAGCCTTTTTATTTTCAAGAAAAAACGAGCATCTTAGCATAATAATTAAATATTCCGAACATAATACTTAGCATTATTTTGCTTATATGTCTATGTAGCTTAAGGAGAGTCGAGCCTCCGACCGCTACTGCAGTCCGACACTTGCGTCAGTTATTTTTCACAGTATACCAGGTGGGGGTCATGTACTGGATTCTACATCGTCAATAATTTCTTTACCATGTCTACGATATGTTCGAGGTATTATGATCTCCCAGGTGTGAGGCCGACCTAAGGGCCTTCTTATTCTACCTGGTACTCGATGAGGGCCGAGGTAATGGCTATTAGGTTCATCGGGTAGTGTGCACACGAGCGACCGAAGCAAGGGCCGATATGGGTCTTTGAGACCACATAAATATGAATAAGTTTTAAGTTTATGCTCTTATATATTCTAGTCATGATATGTCATTATTGATGCTGTTTTATTCAGTACTGGTCTTTGCGCAGCATAGTGGTTTGCTCACGCTTCTATTATGTTTTTCAGGTGATGGAATCTAGCGTGCCGGGTGAGCGTACGTGGCTAGCGTGGTCATGAGCCGAGGACATTTTTACCCTCCATTTTATGTCCTATATTCATGAACCATTATTTATGTATGTGTATGTAATATGTATGATATTTCATTACGCTTCCGCTAAACAATATGTGCAAGACCTTTCGGATTGTATTTATGTTTCACTAACGCCGCAGTTCCTCGTTGGGTTATATGTTTTATTTATGTCCGAAATAGTAAGTCAAGTAAGTTTAGTAGCATCCCACAATTAAGTAAGTATTTTCAAAAATAAACTCGCACGACATTTCGAAAATAAAAGTGAAAAATTTATTCTGATTTTTCAAAAGTCAAAGCTAGTCAAGGCTGGTGTTACATGTTAGTTTACAGCACAGTTGCATGAAACAAGTCAATAACCAGACAAAAACTTTGATAAAGTTTCAATCTTTTTCCTTTATTCTTGTTTTTCGATCAAAATTGTTGCGCCTCGGAGAAAGGGATTCCCCGCAAAAGATGCACAGTTTGAATTTGAAGGGCGTCATGAATTTTCACTCGCTGTCGTTGCCGAATCGACTCAGCTACAGCATAGCTGCTAAGGATTGTTGTCAGCGGCCAAACCGGATCGTTGCTTGTGGCACACAGGGTCAAGGACCGGGCCCGATTGAGGAAACCCGTCGAAGTTCGTTTCTCTCTCGAACCGGAACATATGCGCTACTGAAGCAGCAATTGGAAGTGGCTGCGAAATCCGAGGCATGCTTGTTTGCTTACCTCGCACTTTGTTTGATGGAATCTGAGACGATGGATAGTCTGTGCTAAACTCTGTTAGTTTCCTCTGGGCTCGATTTGGGGGAAAGTTTCATTCTTCACACTTTGAAATTACAGAGTGGAAGATAATAATTAAGATGATACCTTTTAAGCTATACTGTTGTTAGATTCGGTCATATTCATCGGCCTTGTTAATTGGAGTATTTTTTTTTTCATTTTTTTTTTTTTTTNTGCTCTTGGGTTCTGAAACTCGGTTAGTTCTCGGCGGATGCTTGGTCCTCTAAAATATGACTACGATGTGTTGATTTATAATAGCTTTTTCTGACAAAAGAACATAAAAGGACGTAACTTTAGCTATGATCTGGCGTATTTATGTGTTCTTCAGTGGATAATTAGAAACAAATGGCATGTGTTGGAGGAAAGGTTACCAGGACTGAGGAAGATGAAGTGTACTATTGTTACTACATTTTCATAAGTGAAGAATATATGTTAACAGGTGTTATTCGATTTGAAAAGGCTCGTTGTGTTAGAAAATGAAAGAGGCAAAGGTTTAACTTTTCACTAGTGAGACGAATTGATGCAATTTTGGTGTTGGCTTATCTTTATTGATTAAAGAGTATCAGCCAATCTGTGTGTTCGTGTGTGTAAATCAGTTATTCAGTTCCCAGCGCAGTGACTCAATAAATATTACACTTATTTTGCAATTTGTGGTGAACTTTGAGGTAGAAATTGGAATTGAAGTTTTAGTATCTTATTTTGTTTCACTTTTTTTTTTCCCTTATTAACTGCATTAGAATTACAAAGAAGCTGCGAGACTTCGTGATTCTTTGAAGTTATTTGAAGAAAAGGAGCCAATTCTTCGACTTCGGAGATTAATAAAAGAGGCCATCGTAGAGGAAAGATTTGAGGTATGGAAATGGATGAAATAGAATCAGAACTAGGATGAGTAGGTTACTATGATCTTAAACTTGCTATGCCATTGTATTGATGATAAACATTTGCGTGTCAAGAGATAGAAGAAAACATGTGTACTCGGAAATATTGTAATAAATTTACAAATGCACACATTACTCAATTTTTAGGTTTAGGGAGGAAACTGTTTATGGTCATGATCAAATGCCTCTCATCAGGCTTCTGTTAGCTTTTGAAGTACAAGGCATCAAGAATATTTCTCCCCATGTTTATTAGCTTCCAGGATTAGTACTTGATTGATGCATCTGAAGACCAGAATTTTGGCTCAATCCTTATTTGAACAAAAACTTAATCTTGAAAATTAGTAAATTGTCAGTAGCTACACATGCTATCCTCATTGAGCAATTTGTTTACACTTTCTCCCATTTTTTTTTTTTTTTTTNGCAAACTTTTTGTTGGTACCCATATTTACAGGCTCTTGTATTTATTTCCAGGATGCAGCTAAGTACCGTGATGAGCTGAAGGAAATTGATCCTCATTGCTTGTTAAAGTGCTCAAGTGATGCAACAACCTTGGTATAGCAAAACACCATTTATTTACTTGGTCACTTATTTTGTCGATGGTCCTTACAAAGCCTCTTGGCTTGGTGCCATTGTGTGTTTCTATGACAAGTGGCTACTTTTTGAATTTGTTCTATTTCTTTAGTAAAATTTTCATTAGTCGGCGATAACGACAAAATATAACATTATTCATCGCATGTTTTGAGTGTGGACGTGCTGGATAAAAAATTCTAAATCCTACAGCTTTACTTATTTTCAAGCATCAGTGTAGTGATTTTGTTGGCTCTGTCAGATTTTTTTAGTTCTAAGTCTAATGTCGCATGTAAATCCAGTAGATGGTGTAATTGATTTTGTTTGCTAACAGGTTTAATTTAGCAGTAGACAGTCGATTGTTCATTAAAACTCTTATGATTGGCATCACGTGCATCTTTTTGTTTGCATCACGTGAATCTTCCAGGCTTTGTTTTAGCTGTATTGTTGTTTGCATGTAGATTAACTGATGTAAGTCATTATGAATTGTGCCCATTTGCTTGTAGTTTCTGTGAACTGCCTTTAGTTAGCTGAAGTAGTTGAGATATCTGGGAGGTAAGGCGTTGTTTGTTTTCTTCTCCAATGCTTATTTCCATTTTCAAATAATTCATTTTTGAATTAAATCGAGGTTGTTTATATAATGTAATCATTACTTTGAATTTTTCATTTTTCAAATCAGAGCATCTCATACTCATACCCATCAACCATATCTCATCTTCTGAAATGTGGCCCTCACCACTACTCACTATCTACTTAAAACATTACTATATTTTACTTGAATCTTAATATGACCCTACATCTGCAATCTTATGTTTTCTACATTACATATTAAAATTAAAATGTTGAAAGTGAGAAGTTACTATAGCACAATTACTGTTTCAAAACTTCTCATCTGAACATTATCTCAACCTTTTCGTGTGAACATTTGAATTTTCAAAATTATGAAAGCACAACAAACAGGGCGTAGACATGGCTAGATTTATTTTTATTTTTCCTTGTTGCATGCTGTATGCTCTGCTTGTGAAAAGCACTAAGCTTATGCTGGATTAAGAAATGTTGCACAACTGATAAAATATTCTTTCCAGGACATTAGGGTCCAAGTCAGGAGTGTTTACGTTGATGGTCGAAGTCAGCCTTCAAAGAGTCTTTATTTTTTCGCATACAGGATTAGAATCACCAACAACTCAGACCGGCCCATGCAACTTCTTAGAAGACATTGGATTATCACTGATGCCAATGGGAAAACTGAAAATGTCCGGTAAGTTTCCAGTTTTGAACTTTTTTATGTTGTGAATGGGTGCAAAATTCTCCACATATATTCAATAACCATCATTAAGTTGATGACCTTTTCAAATTTCGAATTGTTACCCTTCTCCACACCCACACACAGACACACACACAAACATATATATTTTTTTCCTTCTATTAAATATGTATCTCCCTCCTTTCCCACCAGTGGTATTGGAGTTATAGGCGAACAACCGGTTTTACTTCCCAATACTAGCTTTGAGTATTCATCTGCGTGTCCATTGAGCACACCTAGCGGAAGAATGGTAAGATAACGGATCCCCTCTCTCACATTAACCCACAAATTTTGACTGCATTTACCTTTTTTTTATTCGATATAAATGTCGGTCATCATAGAAGCTTGCTAAATATCATAAATTTGTTGAACACATCTAAGCTCTCTCCTCCCTCAAATAAGTATCATTAGTAGATTATCGGAAATCTTCAAGAAAAAATGTAATGTAAGTACGCCATCATTTGTGAAAGCTTTGTCTAAGATTACAATGGTCATATGATATTTACTATTAGTTCTGATAGTTACGAAGAGAGTTGTACTCTTTCTTGTTTCGGTTGCTTAGTTAGCATATAAAAGTCTGTCTAAGAGGCAAGATGCTGGTCAGTGATCCACATTCCTTATTAATGCCTGAAACCTTATCATTCAAATAAGTTCCTAATTCAGATATATTTTGACAAAAAGTTAGCTGAGAAAAAACTTCTTGCAGGTTAGTCTAATGGCCAAGGCTGCTATATTTCATAATTACAAGATATTGTACCAAAACTGAAAGATAATTATTGTTTCATTTTATTTTTATTTGTTAAATTTTTGGTAATTGGGCCAAAACTCAAGGGTAATTTTTGTAAGTGTATACTTTTAATTTCTACAGGCACTTTAGTTTGGTCTGACAAAAAAAATTAGCCAGGTCCCTTAGCATTTAATATCTTATATCTTGCTGCTCTATTACTTTACTGAAAGAAGGAAAAAAGAATTATCTTTCCTTGCTTGAATTGACTGCAGGAAGGTGAATTTGAGATGAAGTATGTCGATGAAGTATGTAATCAGACATTCAACGTGGCTATCGACCCTTTTTCTCTGTCAACATTCGGAGATGGCACTGATGCTGTTTGACATGCGTCATGAGATGATTATGAATCGGCATTGTGTGCAGCATTTCAGTAACTTAGCTTCGAAGGCCTTGTATAAAATGAAATCCCCACAGTAATAAATCTTTTTTCACTAAAGGCGGGAAATGCTGCTGAAGGATCCTATGAGTACATGCGAAACTAGAATTTTTCCTGATCGTAAATCGTAGACTTGATAGATGTAATCGAATGTGAAAAACCAGTGAATATACAGTTCAACCACTTTGTGTATTGAATATTACCAACTTGTGTTGTACTGTTGTAGATTTTGCTCCTGTGATTTTAAGGTTGTGTTTGATTGAGTGAAATTTCATAAATGCAAAACTATGCACTCTCGAGCCCCTTCTATTCCTCTATTATTAAGTTGTTCTGGCTGCTTATACACTGCAAAATTTGTGAATATTCTTTCTGCTACTTGTGAGTTGTGATATTCATCTGACTTGAATGATGAACGCTCTTTGGGGTTCTTGCATTTGGCTTTAGGACTTTGCTTGATTCTTAAAGTTATCATTATCGACGTGATGAAAGAAGAAGTTACTGGGTTGGATGCCATTTTGGCTGCACCGAATACAGAATAACAGCTTGATGTTACGTTACGTACGTTAACTATAGCTAAAAAGATTTTATGGGAACTTGCTGAATTTGGTTTATTTGAAAATTTGTGCTACAGAGTGTGAAACAGAGCCGAGTCTGTAAACAGAGGATGACACAAACAAGCTAACATTATGGAAACCAGAGAGACATTATTAAGATGAAGCCTCTGATATTAATTATTATTATTATTTTTTTTCACATCTTGCTCTTTATTCTCTTTGCACAGCTCTTGGCTAAGGGGCTGCAGTCAACTACTTCAATCTCAAAGAGCGACCAACTAAGTTCCTCCGGTATCACCTCCAATTTGTAGCAGTGTTTTACCCTTAGCCGCCTGAGCTGGTTGAAGCTTCGGTCCCCGACCTTCCAATGCACCATATCCGTGTCCTCAATCACGAGCGAATCCAGCCGCCGGAAGCCCCCATTACCCGTTTCCCATTTCGAGCCCTGAAAAGCGTAGCACCGCAGTTTCAACACTTGGAGATTCGGTAGCTTCTCAATCACGCGCATGTCCTCCCACGGGTACCCGAGCCCGCTCAGGCTCAACCTCCTAAGGCCCGACGACAAGTCACTCGGAACCCGAGGCTGTGTGGCAAAATCGAGCCTAGGATTCACGACGACGCATTTCAGTGATTTCAGATTGCTGAGTTGAGAGATGCCCTCGAAGAAGCTCGGTAGGCCGTCGGTTGTTTCGAGCCCTAGTTCGATTCGGAACCCTAATTTGGTTAACTTGGGCATTCTTCCCAAAATGCCCCCGGCGCATGCGCCGATGCTCACGTCCAAGAGTGTCGTGAGGAGCGGTAGAACCTCGTCGTCGGCCGGAGGATTCGACAATCGATCTCCTACAATCTGAAGATGCTTTAGTTCCTTCATGTCCCATATCTCAACCGGCACATACCCCGAGGGTTTGATGCTAGCATGCCGTTTCACGATAAGACAACGAAGGTTGGTGAGTTTGGAGATGGAGTGTGGGAGGTTCCCGTCGAACGTGATGGCTAGGTACCTCAGGTAGATGAGTTGAAGTATTTGTGGCGGGAATTCGTAAAGGCGGATGGTGTGGGCATCGAGCACTCTGAGCAATCGCGAGCCAGAACATATCGGCACGGGATACCGATGGTACGGGCCGGTGCACAAGAGAGAACGAGCGTTCGAATTGGCTGATATCGATCGGTACACGTCTTTAAAGCCGAGTAAAATGTTGTTGTGGATGCATAACCTGTGCTGGCTTTGAATACCTCGTGCGAGGCCATCGGCATAGCTGTTTATAACATGGGAGAACTTTGTGTTTTTGGCTTCTTTGGTGCACATGTGCCAGAATGCGGAGTGGAGTCTCCAAGTCTTGATTTTGTTGAGGAAGTTTTTGTCGCGGACCATGATTACGTTTGAGGTGAACAGCTCGTGCAGACAATCTTCGACAAAGTTTTCGAAATTCACAGATGGAATGGGCTCGAGAAGCTCCTCGCAGCTCAACAGCTCGACGAGCATCGTGCATGATATCTCGTATTTTTGTGGGAAAGCTCCCATGTAGAGAAAACACGCTTTTAGATGCTGAGGCAAGTATCGGTAGCTCTGAAACAGCGACTCGGACATTTGATTGTATGCGTCTGAGAAAACCCAACTCTCTCCCATCGCAACACGCTTCCAGTACTCTTCTGTAATCGTTTGCTCGGATTCGGATAAGGATCGAGCAACTGTGACGATCGTGAGAGGAAGGCCGTCACAATTCTCGGCAATCCTTTGTCCATATTTCTCGAGTCGAAGAGGGCAAGGCTGGTCTCCGAATACCTCGACACGAAGAAGCTCCCAACTCTCTTCTTTGCTCATGAAACATTTTTCGTGGGAGTATTTTCGGGACCAGTCGTTGATCGAGACTCCTCGTAGCCTAGTTGTCACCAGGACCCGACTCCTATCGTTATTATTCGGGAGGATTTCTATCAAGTCGTCGAGGGTTGCCGAGTCCCACACATCGTCGAATACAATGAGGTGGGCCCTGTCGTTTAAACTCTCTTGCACCATTTTTTTCTCGTCGAGTTTCTCGTTTGTGTCGGGGCCCAGACCCACCTGAGCTAAAATGCTTCTCAGAATGTCGTTTAGCTGGCGTTTGGGGCCCATGGTGACCCACGCGCGACAATCGAAGTGATTTCTGATCGGCGGGTCTTCAAAAACATACTTGGCTAAGGCTGTCTTACCAATGCCGGCCATCCCGACTATTGTGTAAATCCCGCCGTATTCGGGTCGCAAAGAGGTAAGCAACTTTTTGAGTTTGTCAGCTTCATCACGTAATCCGATCATTTTCGAATTAATTTTACTTTTCACATAAAAACGATCAGTTTCTCCTTCTTCTTCTTCTTCTTCTTCTTCTTCTTCCTCTTCGGGTTGTGATGTGTTGCGTAACTCATTAATGTACTCTTCTCTCAACTCGTTCGCGGATCGGATAAATGCCTTGACTTCTTGGTCTACTTCCAGAAGGTCCAGTGAGAATGGACCGTGTTCGGATTGTGCGAGGGACTGAGTTGAGACATGTGATTCGAACGAGTCTTGTAATTTACAGGCTGCCTCTCTTATCTGTCCTTCCAAAGCATTCAGTCTTTGGCAGCTGCTGCTGCTCCTGTTCCTATCCAATCTTTTCATAAATGCTTCCAACTTCAACATGGCTTGGTTTGCAAATCTAGATATATCTGGCCACAGGAGGTGATGAAAAATTAAATCAAAACTTTGTGAAGAGAACTTGAACAAAAAAATATTTGGAGTACTGGTGTTGCAAAAATGATAAATAAAATATTTGTTGGAAAAGTTTTCCAATTCCTATTTCTATGGTGTTTGTGTTCAAAGACAAATTATTTGCGGAGTGGTCTGTCACAAATCACCCTTGGAAGATTCACTGACACATGATTTCAATCATGATAGTAAAGCATACCACTGATAGAATCACTCATACAGTGATGTGTAATGAATTGACATATAAAATCAAAAGCATAGATGATGACAATATTCAATGGATTCCAACAGAAACAACAAACAATGTTAGTTTTCTTTACCAACCTGAAACCAGACCACGAGTTTTGAGAAATTCATCCTCCTCTTCCTCCTCCTCCTCCTCCTCCTCTTCTTCTTCCTCCTCCTCCTCCTCCTCCTCCTCCTCCTCCTCTTCTTCCTCTTCTTCTTCCTCCTCCTCGTCTACCTCTTCTTCAGCCATAGTCTGTATAAACAACTGGATGCGTTGCTTAGCATCGGCCAAGTCCACGCAGAGGGGTTCTTTCCGCAAACCCGAGAGTAGGGACTCGAGCACGCTGTTCAATTCCCGGATATCTGTGGGGTACAACTTCTCCATTTTCCCCATGCCGACGAGCTCTCTCGAAAACAGCACGAGTTTATACTCGGAAGGGAGGCGAGCCAAGAGGTGGGGTTCAAACACGTGCAGAGGTTTGAAAGACGAGGTTTGCGTTTTCAAATGGAAGGTCGTGGCACAGCCGCTGCTGAAGCCATCGAGCAAGTCGTCGCTGCTATAGCACCCCACTGTGTCCATCAACTGGATCGATTCTTTCAGGAGCCGGGCCTCGGCCAGCGCGGATTTTAAGCTTTCCGGGCCTACGGATATTTGGGGAGAATGAAACAGATTTTCAACTGTTCGAATCAGAGAAACCAAAGCAGTATAACAAGCCATGCTNTACAAATTTCAGCTCTGAAATGAAACTAGTGAAAAGTTGTGACTTGTGAGGACACAAAATGTTATGAGTGATTATGTGAACTATAGAAAAATTTGTTTGCATTATTGAATGCAGATGGTCAACGGTTTGGTGAAGCATTCATAAATGTCCAACATGCCACCATGCATTACTTTACTAATATTATTACTTATTTTAATGGAGTTTAAATGGGAATAGGCATCAAACAGACACAGCTGGCCATTTATCATTTACTCCATTTCAAAGGAATTCAGCCAATTATTAAATACATCCCATATGTAAAGACAAGGTTTTCAATTCATAATAGATTTAGTCAAAAATTATATGAAACCATCATATGGTTATCTTATTGAGCCATCCACTCTGTCCGAATTGTATTTATTGTAGGATACGTGTCAATACGCTATTAGTGAATAAGTGTGGATGACTCCATAAGTCGAGCCATTTGATGACTCTATAGCAAAACTGTAGATTTAGTTTAGTCATTGCTCGTCACCCCTTGATCCGATAAGGAAAGAAAATGGAAAATCTACCACCAGCTTACAAAGCTAAGCTTATTAGCTTACTATGGCTAAGGAATTTCTCGTTGATTGCACGAGGCCGAGTGCTGCCGGAACAGAAAAAGGAATGAATCTCCTTATCCGATTGTGAACAAGGAAAAGAAAATGACTAGTGAAGCATCATTATTCTTTATACTATTGTTTTTGTATTCGATGTTGTGCATATGCATATATGTTTTAATTATTATAAATTATATCTATGTCTATAATATTAAAATTATAAGTTATATAATGGTATCACATTTTAAAAATATTATCCATTTCATTATTATATTGCTCGCATAAATATGAAATGGATAATATTTTTTTTTTATAAATTTGAAGGATCTTGACCAATTAGTCATCTTAAAAAGTATTGAAATTATTATTATTATTGTTACTAATACTATTATTATTATTATTATTATTATTAGTATTGTTCATGCAATTTTCATAGATTTGATTATATCTCTAAAGCCAATTAACTAATTAAAAAATGCTTAATGAGATGCATAAATAGTTTAAGAAAAAAATTGCAATATAATTTTTATACTTACTGAACTTCCATATGTCATTTAGTGTGCATTATAATCAGTTAGTTTTAGTAATAACTATTATATAATTAAAAAATTTGATTTCATTTTAATTAACCATTATGTTAAATAGTTATTTGTTAGACTTCAGTTACAAGTTTTATAGAAAACAAAAATAAAAAACAAATATATTAGTTGGCCGTTTTAGACTTTCAAATAAAACAAAATAAAAAATATATATTATTATGTTGTAACATATTTATAAGTGAATTTAAAATATTTTTATTAATTTGATTTGCTATTAACCATTAGTGCACGTTCGATGCACATGGTGGTTAATTATTACCATAATTTTGTAGTAAGAAGATAATTTATTAATCATGTCAAAAGGACTATTAAAATAAAAAAAAATAAGTTTTTGTGGTAAATTTAAATAAGATAACATCATGAGTATGTAATAAAAATCTATGGAATTGTAAGTAATACTTTATTATAAATATGTAATTCTATAAAGATAATTTAAATTTATAATTAATATTCATATCTTCCTAATAAAAATATAAAATTATCATACTCTTTCTTATTATACATATATTAATATTTTTAAGTAACTGGATAATACAATATTGGTAAATAATTTACTTCGACTTTAATTGTCTAAGGCTATGTTTGGTAACCAAATAAACTAGCTTATAACTTATTTGGTTAACTTATAAACTTCTTGTATTCAAATAAATTTCGTTTGGTAGGACGAACTTTTTTAAAAAGCTCGAGTTTATCTCATGAGTTTCTTTGGGTTGTTTTTCAAATAAGTTGGTTCAAATTTTTATATCAGCTAATTTTACCAAATATTTTTATATATAAGCTAGCTTTTCGCTATAAGTCCTAAATTATAAGTTATACGTTATAAGCTAACTTATCAGTTAATTTGATCACTCTTAACATAAATGTACCAACATATCTAGTATAAAATGATGTAAATTAGATTTACAATAACGTTCAATAAAAGATTTATTAAATTAATGACAAGGCGTGATTAAACTTGTCAAAACGAGTATGAGTGTACGGACTGCCCTGCCCCGTCCCGCCTAATGGAAGATTCGATGTCGTTTTTTCACCTTTGATTTACACATAATCACACGCACACCCATATGGGTGTGTGTGAAATCAAAGGTGAAAAAACATGTGGGGAAAGTGCTCCACATGTAGCATCGAATTTTTCCCGCCTAATAGACTGGTTGGGCTAATGTTTGAAAGGCTCGCCATAGAGTGGGCCAAAATAGGCTGGCCCGCGTAGGCCGCATGCCGCCATTAATAAAAATACAATTGGGTGGTACTATTTATCGCCCCCCATTTTACTATTCACCGCCCCCCTTGGACGATTTTGCCCTTTTCATTTTTTCTAAACATCTCAGAGGAAAGTGTACGGTGAAATATCGTCAAATTCGGAGGTACGAAAATTTTTGTGTCCGGCCGCCGGAACCGGACGGCCGGTCGGACGGGCTATGTCCGAACCGGCCGACCGGACGGCTTAAAAGTCGTCCGAAAACGAAGGCCGGTCGGAACCGGTCCGTCCGGTTCGACCGGCCGGACATTTTTTTTTTCTTTAAAAAAAATTATTATGTTATATATTCGAAATAATTATGTTATAAATTATTATGTTACATTTTAGACTTGATTATGTTATAAATTGGACGTTTATCGTGTTAGGAGTTACAAATTATTATGTTACATGTTGATTATAATATAAATTGGACGTTAGATATTATCGTGTTACGAGTTAGAAATTATTATATTACATGTTAGTCTTGATTATGTTATAAATTGACGTTAGATAGTATCGTGTTAGGAGTAACAAATTATTATGTTACATGTTATAGTTGATTATATTATAAATTGGACGTTAGATATTATCGTGATCGTGTTAGGAGTTACAAATTATTGTGTTACATGTTATACTTCATTATGCTATAAATTGGACGTTAGATAATATCATGTTATGAGTTACAAATTATTATGTTACATGCTAGAATTAATTATCTTAATTTAACATGTTCTAAAAATATAAATATTGTACTATATAGCAGGAGTCATGGGAAGATTTTGGAGGAGATGGTGTTGATTACAGTCTGCGTTTCGATACCTGTACATTATATAATAGTGCTCAGGACGCTATTGAAACTGCAAAACACCAGGCAATGCTGAATGGTTTCCTATTAATAATTCCGAGCCACAAAAAGAAAACGGTCAGGCTTGTGAAGTGCCATAGAGGCGAACGGTACAGAGGCACTGGCGGAAATTCTAGAAAGACAAAAACGAATAAGTGCGACTGCAATTTTGAGATCAAAGTAAAAAAGGTGTCCGGCGCTCCATACTGGAGGATCTGTAGATGTAGCAATGAAGAGAAGGACTACCATAACCATACATTTGCTGTGTATCTTGAGGGTCATCGCCAGTTGAGCGGCCTCAACGCTTCATCTAAGAAAATTGTTCGTGATATGACGGACGCTCAGGTGGCCCCGGCAAAAATTATGGCCGCGCTGAAGGAAAAGAATCCGGGAGACAACGTTCATGTGCGACAGGTATATATATTTAGGGTTAATGTTTTATTTATAATTTTCTATTAAAATATATTATTTGGTTTAATTCATTGACTTTTTTATCGTATACTTATAGGGACTGGTCATCAGAGCCAGGCGAGCCAGGCTGCATGGTCAGATGCGGAGTTCTTTCAGACGCTTGTGAGTGAGGTTGAAACCCGCGATCCCGCGACGATGCGGTACGTGAATCAGTTCATGTATAGTCATCTTTACCCAGACCAACAGGATTATGCGAAACCTGAGGTTAAGGATAATCCGCGAGGTCGTCCCAAGAAAACTAATTTAACTAAGCGTAAACCATCTGCTTTTGAGTACAACGATAGATCGCGAGGTCGGAAATCGAGCCGTACGACCACTTCTTCGCGTGGACAGACAAGTTCGTCTTCTCAACAGTCACAAGGGGAAGTAGGTCATACATTTTTTTTTAAATATGGCTGAGCGTTAATTAAAGTATTTATATGATTATATAAATTGTGACGTGAAATTATCATGATATTTATTGCAGAGTTTAGACCGACAAATATATTTAGATTTTCAACGTGGCAAAGTATCCCCTGGCATATGTTGCACTACATAGTGAGTTACCTGAATGTGGATGCGGATGGTAACTGCGGATTTCGGGTCATCGCGAGTCACGTGTATGGTCACCAGAAGTACTGGGCAGATGCAAGAGAAAGGGTTGCGAATGAGGTCGACAGCCACCGTGAATTGTACGAATACATCTATTTTAGAGATATCGACGCCGGACTCCGTCGCGAAAGGTGGGGCAACGGCCCTTGTGGACGGGTTCACTGGTTCGAAGTTCCGCAGGACCTCCACGCCGTTGCGACCCTATTTAATGCGGTTGTCGTTTTGTTGAGCTCTGGTCCGCGAGGTGGGCAGCACGACTTATTCAGCACCACAGTGTTGCCTCTCATTGCATGATCATCGGCTAGAGGACCATGTCGTGAGATTGCCATGTGTCATCTTGGTACCGTAGCACACTACATTCGTTTAGATTTGACTCCTGATTGTCCATTACCGCCTATTCATTCCATGTGGTTCGATAACCGAGATCAATCGGTTGTGGGTTGGGAGGATCAGTACGAGGCTAGATTGCGATTGTGGTATACTGTTCAAACAAATCCTTCTTGAATAAAAGAACGATATTATTCACTTGTGGTATGACGCTTCTCATTCAACTTAAGTTTAGCAAATAAAAAACAAAATGAATCAGTTCAACTCTAGTTTAGCAAAAACAAAAAAAACAAAAAAAAAAAAGTCATTCAACATAATGTTTTACAATAATAATTAAAAAAAAAAAAAC